AAAGAGTTAGGTAATGAAAGAATAAGGCTTGGATTGTCAAGTAGGAGCATGTGTACTTTTAAAGTCTGTACACATAAGTTCCTGAGGGGTAGTAAGCATCTCAGGATAAATTAGTACATCTTGAAGCATCAAATTTGCTGAAAGATTTCTGTTGGAAAAAAAGTTCTACCCTTTTTGTCACAAGTAAGGGCAAGCAAAATTAGTAAAATGTGATTTTGATCTTTAATTTATTACTAGCTGTACCCGGCCACACGTTGCTGTGGCTCAGTCTGGTTAAATGGAAAAGAAATAAAAGAGAAAGCATACGTTTGTAATATGTTTAATTTCACAATGCTTTTGGGTATACAGTATTTTTGTTGTTCCATTCTTTGTGCAGATATATTGATTGTCTGCCTAAAATATTTCATATAGTGTGTGTTGCTTCTACGTCCAACAGATGGCTCTGTTTTAAAAAAAAAGGCATGTTTTTACCTGTCACAGGTGTGACATTTATATAATAGGTATATAAAAACACGCGCGTATTCGAATGCAACGTTGTATCAAAATTTCAAAGCAATTGGTGAAGAACTTTTGGAGATTTAAGATTTTGAACAAACCAACATTTACATTTTTATTTATATAGATGTCAGACAATCATTTTATTTTTTTAGCCTTGAAAGCAAGACAAGAGAAAACTTCAGGTGGAGAGCATAGTGGTAAAATGTATTTTGTTGTTACTATGGGCCCCTTTGGTGGTATTGCTGCCACCCAATGTCAGTGAAAATTCTGTTTTTTTTAAATATTTTAATTAAAAAAAACACACCATATAGCACTAGCTTTATAATAGGTACTGTTTAAGTATTTTGTAAATGTTAATTCATGCTAACTTTATGAAATAGTTGATTTAATTCAGTGTGATTTTTCCAACATGATAGATATTGCAACAGGTTTAAATGTTTACCAGAAGGAAATTTTGGGGTACATTTTTCTTGGTGGTTTTTAAAAACCTCAAGAACCTCATTCTTGCAAGAAACAAAGAAGGATAAATTATGCAGATAATGTAAAAGTTTAAAAAATTTTAAGATAAGTCAGTTTTCAAAAGTCTTTCTGGCTTGGACAGGCTGCTTTGGCGTAGGTCCTCACAATATGAATTCAAGTTCACTCCTCTGTGGAAACATTTGGAGAGCACCTGTTTAAGATTTAAGGTTTTACTCTGATGTGAGACTGTAATAATAAAATCTTTTGGTATCAGAATTGTAACGCTATAATAAAGTGAAAAGCTTTAGATTGATATTTTGGGACAGTGGCTTCATGCGGCCCCTTGGAATCATAGCCCATACGTGGCTGGTGATTTGGGGAACTGAAAATCCCTGGAGAAATTGGACAGAGACTGAGTAGGGAGCTGGAAGGAGGGGAGTTCTGGCAAGAGCGTGAAATCAGAAACAGTATCTTTTTTTCTTTAGGTTCCTCAGGAGAATTGTATTATAAGTTCTTTAAAGTTCTACAGCTTTATTCCTGCAAAGCTGCCTGTAAATATACATTCCTTATTCCCATTGGTTTTCATTGTAATCGTGATGCTTTATTTTTCTGATTGCTCTTCAATGGATAGGGATATATAACACTGGATATTTAAATTGCTCACAAGGTAGTGATCTAAACAAAAGGTGGTCTATCCGTACAATGGGATACTATTTGGCCATGAAAATAAATGGTATTCTGATACATGTTACAACTTGGATGGACCTAGAAACATACTAAATGAAAGAAGCTAGACACAAAAGGCCATATTGCATGATTCCATTTGTATGAAATGTCCAAATTAGGAAAATGATAGAGACAGAAAGTAGATAATGATCACAATTGAATTGGGGAAAGGGATAAATAGAAGTAATTGCTAGTGGGCTTGGGATTTTTTTTTTTTAGAGTGATGAAAATATTCTGAAATTAGGTAGTGGTTATGGTCATGCAACTTTTGTGAATATACAAATAATTACTTATTCAAAATGGTGAACTTTTGGTACATGAATTATACCTCAATAAAGAATTTGTACTCTATGATAAAATACGTAAGTATAAGTCATCTATCGTATATGATAAAAGGCTTATATTCAAGTCAACCGAACGGGGAAACAATGGGTCGGTATGATGCACATTGACCACCAAGGGGCAGACACTCAATTCAGGAGCTGCCCCCTGGTGGTCAATGCACTCTCACAGGGGAAGGGCCTCTCAGCTAGAAGCTGGGCTCAGGGCTGGTGAGTGCAGCGGTGGTGGTTGGAGCCTCTCCCACCTCTGCAGCAGCGCTAAGGATGTCTGACTGACGCTTTAGGACCCACTCCCCTTGGCTGTCAGTTGGACATCCCCCAAGGGCTCCTGGACCATGAGAGGGTGCAGGCCGGACTGAGGGACCTTCCCCAGGTGCTTGAACTTTGTGCACAGTGCCTCTATTCCTATCTAATAATAGTTAAACATGGTAATTAACCGTACCTCCGACCCGCTTCCCATAGGATAATCAGGGCGATATGCAAATTAACTGCCAACCAAGACGGCAGCCGCCAGCCAGGCAGCTGAAGCAAATAGGAGGCTTGCTTGCTCCAGTGAAGGAGGAAGCCAAGGTTCCCGGCCGGCGGCAGGGAAGGAGGAGGCTGAGTTCCCCCCCCTGCCGCTGCTGGGCTCTGAGCTTGCACTCTAAGAAACAATGTTGCAATTATAGAAGCTAAACAAACCCCATGCTTTCAGCCAGCCGGCTGAGCTGGAGTTGCAATAGTGTTTCAATTATAAAGGCCAAACAAACCTGAGGTCTCAGAGCTGGAGCTGAGCCTCAGACCTAAAGCCGGCTCTCAGTTCCAGTGACAGCCATAGAAGGTAAATAAATCTCATAATAATAATAAAAAAGAAGCTCTTCGGGCTCTGACGCCAGTGCAAGGCATGGCTGCTTCATCCCTCGTGTCCACGTTGGCCACCCTGCTGCTCTGACCCGCACAGAACTGCTGCCTCTGTCACTGTCCACTCCATTTCTCAGCTTTTCAAAATGAAGCTGTTGTCATTTCTGGAAGGAAACTTGCCCAGCAGATCAAGCAGGAAGTGCGGCAGGAGGGGGAAGAGTGGGTGGCAGCCGGCAACAAACGGTCATACCTGAGCGTGGTTCTGGCTGGGGAGAATCCTACAAGTCATTACTCTGTCCTCAACAAAACCAAGGCTGCTGCAGATGTGGGAATCAACAGTGAGACAATTGTGAAACCTGCTTCAATTTCAGAGGAAGAACTGTTGAACTTAATCAATAAACTAAATAACGATGATAACGTCGATGGCCTCCTTGTTCAGCTGCTGCTTCCTGAGCACATAGATGAGAGGAAGATCTGCATCACTGTTTCTCCAGACAAGGATGTTGATGGCTTCCATGTAATCAACGTGGGGCGAATGTGTTTGGACCAGTATTCCATGTTACCGGCTACCCCCTGGGGTATGTGGGAGATCATTAAGCGCACTGGCATTCCGACCCTAGGGAAGAATGTGGTTGTAGCTGGAAGGTCCCAAAATGTTGGGATGCCCATTGCAATGTTGCTGCACACAGACAGGGTGCATGAACATCCTGGAGGTGATGCCACTGTTACAATATCGCATCAATACACCCCCAAAGAGCAGCTGAAAACACATACCATTCTTGCAGATATTGTGATCTCTGCTGCAGGCATTCCAAATTTGATCACAGCAGATATGATCAAGGAAGGAGCAGCCGTCATTGGTGTGGGAATAAATAGAATTCAGGATCCTATCACTGCTAAACCCAAGTTGGTTGGAGATGTGGATTTTGAAGAAGTCTGGAAAAAAGCCGGTTACATCACTACAGTCCCTGGGGGTGTTGGTCCCATGACAGTGGCGATGCTAATGAAGAATACCCTTATCGCTGCAAAAAAGGTGCTGAGGCTTGAAGACCAGGTGGTACTGAAGTCTAAAGAGATTGGAGTGGCAACTAATTAACTAGTCTGTCTTCTGGGTCATGAACGGTACTCCAAGCCAGTTCAGGAGGCAAAACAGGCCAATAGAAATGCAGCATCTCTTATTTATTCTACTGACATGGTTTTAAACAATGCTTTGTATTTATTGAAAGCTTAAGTGGGTGGATGCTTGTGCACATAACTCTCCCCAGTATCTCACCAGGGATCATGCCATTATTATGCTGGGTCATGTGATCTGGCCATAAGAGGAGCCATTAGCCTGGTGATTGCATGGGGGACACTCCCATTGAGAAGGGCTGCTTTACTTTGTCAGACCACTTCAGTTACCAATTGCCTTTTCCAGGATTGCATTTCCCAAGTGCTATTCCAATAAGAGTTGATACTCACTTCAGGTTCCAAACCTTTTGAGCTCAACTGGTCAAACCAAAGGAAAAATGTTGCTAGAGAAAATTAGAGAAAAGGTACAAAAGAAGAAATGATAGTAATTTGAGTAGAAAAAATTTACCCTAATTTTATATTGCCT